ATTTTTATCCTGGTGTCATTTTTAAGAGCATCAAAGGAACACAATGTCCCAGAGAGAAAAAAAGTCTGGAATACACTTCTGTCTTCAATGTAAGGGACGACCTGAAAAGTTCTTTAAAAATAGGGAAAGTAAGAAGGTGGTGTGAAAATGTGATGATAAAAATAACATGAACAGCACAAGCCTGAGTATCCTCGGAGGCGGATTTGTTTTAATTGAGGGATTTTGGCTAATCAGCAGCCTGATCAGCAACTCTTTTCGTTCTCCCCTGTTTTTTAATTATCTCCTCCTTTTCTATTTACAACAAACCTGTTTAAAGCCGGACCTGTTTAATACCTGTTTTACCTGAGATTAGCTGTTTTCATCCAACCATCCAAAATAAATATTTTTTGGCATTACTGAGGATAAATGCAAGTAAAAATGCATTTAATTAGCAAAAAGAAAATTCCATGTAATCTATGGCCAAAAATAGAACTGTATGAAATATAGAATTGTAGGAGTACCAGGTCCTGCAGCATGTTAATATAGTAGTGGGTTCATATTTCTAAGGCAATTAATGGAACTGGGACTTAAACAATAATTTAGATTAAATAATTACAGAAATATGTATTAACTCAACATTCAGCTTAGTTATCAGTGGTAGCAACAAAACTTAAGGTTTGTTACTAATTTGAAAGAGGATAACTGTGAGCTAGCAATAATCTGTAAAAACTCATAGATAAACTTTTTCTTTAATTTAAATTTCTTCTTTAAATTTAATCTGGATTCAAATTAATTTGTTAAATTATTGCTATTTGATTAGCAATATAAAATATAGTTAGGTAATCAGATTTATATTAATTTAAATTAATTCTAATTATTTTTAACTCTAATTACATGAATCTCTTTGAACTACTGTCTGACTACTTGTAACTAATAAATAGATGGGAAATAGTTTCCTTAGTAAACTAATTGAACAGAGGCTAAATGAGGCGTATGTACATATAAAAGGTAGTGAGTCAAGTCTGATTTTAATCAGTCATGCAGTTCTATTACGTGTTATGTAGAAAAACAAACAAAAACAGAAATGTATTGTCTTCCCAATATCTGCAGAGAGACACTCCTCTCATTCAAATGACAAACAGATTATTGCAGAAAGGTTTTAAAAAATCTTTATGTCAAACAGTTTGGCCAGTTTCAGTTTTCCCTGCTGAGAATGAAAGAAAACATACAGAAGATATAGTATACTAAACTGCCTTCGTAAAAGTCTCAGAGCAGTAGATTATTTCAGTATGAAGATTGATCCACTAAGTGAATCACTTACACACGCATGTACACACCGAACACACAATGGCCGCATTTAACAGCTGGCTCGATAAATCAGGCCAAATTCATTGTAAGCAGAGAGTCACTACAGACACCAGGCTGCTGATGATATGACATTGAAAATCGAGCTGACACAACGGCTCATTCTGCACTGAGCCCCTGGGCAGCAACACCAACAAAGACTAAATGAGGTCCATCAAGAAGGAATGTGGGCCGTTTGAAGTCGCACTTTCAAAACAGAAGCACAAAGCAGTGAAAGTCTTCTAAGGCCTGTGATTCTGAGGTTACTAGCTACATACCATCTTTCCATGACTATTAGCATGTTGTTTTTTTACATTAAGGGTGGGGGGTCCCTGTAGCTTTGTGCAGTATTTATACATCTTACTTTAGTCTTTGTAAAAAAAATTAAAATAAATTGTGGTCCAGCCATTGATGTATCACTGACGATTCCAAAACAATAATCATACTTTATTTACATAAATATATATATTTTTTGCAGTATCCCCTTGATATCTGCACAAGTTCAGTGAGGATTATTTTATTGATACATAAAAAGGAGTCTGAAGGGCAGAGAAGTATGTGAGGGTGGTGCAGACATGATTCTTCTGTAAATGTATGTGTTTACTAGGTAATGTACTTTGGCTCATTGACATTTATTGTTTCATTATAGAGTACTTTTTACCCATTTCCATGGTGAAGAGTTGACGGTGGCTCTAAACAAGTTGAAATGATAAAAATATAAAATAATTAATAATAATGTAATTCCGTCTCTGCATGTATGCTTTATTAATATATGTTATGTTTATCTTGATAAAATGTGCTGCGGTTCGTCCATCACTGTGTCACTCACTAATGATTCAACCAGAGTAAACATACAGGAGAAGTATTTACTGACATGCTCATTAGCAGGATGTGGAGTAAATGATGACCTGAGGTAATAAATTAGGTCCAGCCAATTAATCAATGCCCTGTTGCTATTCATTAATCCAGCAAGTAACACTAGTAAATGACATTTGATATCTAAATTAATAAAATGTGGAACTGTGGATAAGAAAATAAATAATTGTACGAAGATGTTTTGAATATGTATTTGAGCCAAGTATTTGGAAAGAAAAATTAAACTCCAAAATTGAAATCCATTTGCCTTGCTTGACCCCACGTTGACAGATTTGAGCCCCCACATTGGGTCCCGCCCCCGTATTGGGAAAGAATGGGTTACTAGGAAAGTGAAAATGGCAGGAAATAGAATGAGAATGAGGCGAGAATGATAACCTGCTGGGATAATTCCTGACACTTCTCTAACTTAGATCTGAGTTTTGCAGTCTCCAAACCTGGACTTTTACTTAAACAGTTTGAACTTCACCATTGTTTGGGATTATATAAAAAGGAGAAATAGCACCATAGTGTGTATTTTAATGATTAGATTTGAATCATTTACATTTTATAAAAGCTACCAGCGTCTGCCAATATTAGACAGACAATATTAGATTAACTTTTAATGAGCACAGTCAGCCAGCAGGAGACAGTCAGGATGCTTCAGTCACATCATCCATCTGTGGTATTACAGTCGTTAGTCGGAAACCTAGCAGGGGGAAATATACCAAACTCTACTGCGCAGGAAAACTCCTTTTTCTTCTCTGAGGACTAAACTTTTTTTCTGTTTCAATTAGAAATGAATGTTTCCTACAACTGTTTATAGACAATGGAATGAGAGCTCAAAGGAGATTAAAGACAGGTTTGCTGGAGAAGTGAGTCTGGCGAGACTATACTTCTAAAATCTATCCATGAAACCTGTCAGGGTTTGTTACTGGGCTTTGATTTAGTTTTACTCTATAGGGCAACTCTGACAGGCTGACGTTTACTCCCCGTAGAAGCAATGAATTACTTTCCAAGTTCCAAGTTCTTTTTTTTTCCTTCAGTCTCTTCTGGAGTGGCAGACTTGACTTTTTATATCTTGCATCCTTTAAGTGTAAACACTGATGTTGTTTGCCAGTGCGACACAGCAAGTCAGCGAGTGACTCTGAAATGTAATCTCCATGCAAATAACATGTGTCACAATAACTTACTCATACAACAATGTTGTCATTTGTACTGGCTGTTCGCTAACTGCGAACTCCTTGTTAGCGTTCGCATGGGTGTTTTTTATGTTAAAATCTGTTTCTGGTATTTATTTATGTATTTCTGTATTTATTTGAGGACCACTTGTCCTTCTGGATGGAAACCTGGTTTTAATGAGGTGAAACCCTTTTTTGGGTCAAGATGTCAATAGCTGTCGGGGTTTGGTCATTAGCACGGTAAAGGTTAGGGATAATGGTCTGGTGAGATGCATGTGTGTGAGTGAGTGTGTGTGCTTTTGGTGAATATATACTTGGGGGGAGAAAAATACTATTATAAGGGATAAATACTCCTGGTTACATTTTGCAGGTGGAGGTTCAGATGAAGCAGGTGTAATGCATTCCCACAAAGCACAAAAAGTATTTGTTTGTATCATTTGTTTGTGTGTATTTGTGTTTCTAACCCGTTCAAACATAGTATCAGATAATATGAAAAAATATGGACATGCAGGGAAATTAAATTGTAGCAAATGACTATAGAACTACTTACCTCACTCAGAATCAGACGTGAATTGAAGTTGTCTAATTAAACTATAGTTAGAACATAATTAGAGAAACTGTATTTCAGTCTGACCCAGACTGTGGATGACATCACATTTCTTTTTAGCCAATGTAAAACTGTAGGAGAGTCATTTCATATTTCTTCACAATGACTCAGCACATCTTGTTGACATCGTCCACTTTGATCTTAATACAGCTATAAACACATATAGAACATATATCTGTATTGAAATACATTACTGTGTGTTTTAGTTTTTCTGACAGGTTGTACTGCAGCAGGTGTGATCTCATCACGAGACACTGACCTTGTCTCAGTTCGTGGGCTGCAGCTGAATGGAGCTGCATTTATCACACAGATGTTGTCAAAATGCATCACACTGCAGTGACTGGGCTTGACCCACTTTGGTGGCATCAAAGAATATGTTTGACAGAAGCAACTGAATTCAGCCAGACACACAGGCAACAAGGGACGTTTCCTAATATGATATAATGTTGTGATGGCAGTGCACAGGTTGAAAACAATACCTGTCCCAATGGTAATCATCAGGCATGTGACTCATGGCCAGAGACACAAAGACATTCTGCAAAAAGCCGCTCTGATAGTCTTTCCTTCCGTATGCCTCGGGAACAGACGTATGGCAGGGATGAGTTTAAAAAGATAAAGGTTCCCTGTGTATAAAACCACAACAGGAGAAAATCCTTTCTCCTCAAACAATCAGACTGAGTGTACCTGCAAGACGGGTATCATATTCACCTTGTGTTCACCTCTCTGTGGGATCATAATTGCATCAGATACACTAACACCGGGTCTGGGGTCCATTGCTAAACACCTATGGACAATGATTAATGACCCATCAGAACAAACAGCAAGCGATTGGTCTCCAACGGCGTCTGAAGGCTGATACGCCACACAGACAGTAAATATATATATATAAAAAATCTTTGTGTGCGTCAGTGCGTCTAGATTGCGATAATAAGAATCTAATAGCTGCGTGTAATCTGCATGTGCACAGATGACGACATTGGCTGACAAGGGCAGTCATTACTATCATGTCAGTGTGATTAGATTAATTGCTCATAATGTGGCCGTTAATGTCCCTGATGTGTCTGTTTCCTAAAACTGATCGAACATTTTTTTTCTGTTGTGATGACTACATCGCAGGAGTAAATTAGTTCAGCCAATCAATCACAAGTCAATTTGTAACGGAGGTAACACCCCCCACCCCCGACTGGTGACAGCTTGTACATGTGACTGCAGGAACACGATATGATACAGTCTGTACTTCAGTCATAATGTGAGGCTGTGTTCTCACCATAGTGAACATTAAAGCAACAGTTGTTTATATGTAAATTCTTGTTATTAATACTTTGAACCTATAGTAACTTCCATTAGCTATTGAGCTTGTGATGCTGCATGTTTTTGTTCTCCCAATCTTTGTCTTCTCTTTCTTTTTCTTTTCGTCTCCCTTATCGCCTTCTCCCTTTTTCTTTCTCCCCTCGTTGCTGACTCCATTTTTGCCTGACCTGTCGAGGGACTGGGCTGCAATCAAATCTACAAATTTACAAATAAATTAGTTTTCTTTCTCTCTATTGTTGCCAAGTTTTTGGCTCATTGTGCAATGTGTCCTATTTTGTATACCATGGACATATTATAGAGTACAATACACATATACAGAATTTTCAATATAACACTGGCTGCATATTTACAATGAATGTTCTTTTTTTTCCAGTTTCGTGTGTTTCACTAAAGTAGTCGAGGAATCACCGATGGTGAAAGATCACTGACTTGACTTCAGGTAAGTTGAAGCAACTGTTTCTGGTCTCCTGTAAATAGCATTATTCCAGAGCTTTAAGGAAGACAGTTGCCAAGTGGCAAAGCAGCACAGGGCAACTTCAGCAGCAACTTACCGATGGAGCAGGTTTCCCTCCTTTTGCTGTGCAGAGAAGAGTGATATTCTGAGCCTGGTATCGACTGAACGGGGCTGGGGTATTTTCTGCCACCACTGATATGTTGCTCGGAGGTGCTGTGATAAAAAGAACAAAAAAAAAAAAAAAAAAAACTTGTCAAAATAATCCAGTAGTGTTTTAAGGCAACACACTGAACCTTGGTCAAGGCTCAACAAACAATATATTTATTAGATTTAATATCATTGTTTTAATAAACAAACTTAATGTTTATATTAAGGCTTAAATATTTTATTTTATATTAGAAATTGCAACTCATTTATTCTACCTTAAACTTTGTGAAGTTTATAACAAGACAACATTGCTGGCAGGAAGTCTCATTATTAATAATGAAGTACAGCAGTGGTTCTCAAACTGTTGTACGCGTACCACCAGTGGTACACGAGCGCTCTCTAGTGGTACGCAGGGAAAATTCATATTTTCACACTGACATTTTCAGTTGAATAAATCTGAAACATACCATGCACAGTTAATGCAAAATTTAAACAAACATCTTTCTAAACATTTCTAAACATCTCTAAACATCTCTCCTGTGTGGTGGAAGCTAACAGGGAAGGCCTCTGCTGCTGTATTCTAATGTTGGTCATCATGGTGGTACTCAGAGAGCTCAGAGTTTTCTCAGGTGGTACAGAGTAGAAAAAGTTGGAGAAGAATAATTAGTACAGTGATAGTAAAGAGTTAAATGTCGTTGGTAGCGTTACGTTATTGTGTTTATGAATAAGAATAAGGTCAGAGGCTATGGATGTGCAGGTAGAATTTCTAACATAAAGCAAAAAAAAGAGAAAGAAATCCAGCAGTCTATAAATTGGGTCACCTATTTCCTCTGCAAACAGCAGGAAGCCAAAGGGATAACAAGCAATTTAGCTTTTAGTCACAGAAATAGAGTTTTTCCCACCACAGCTACGACTCAAAGCACGTCTACATCATACAGTGGTTGTTTGTCAGGTCAATATTTTCTAAGAGTCACAGATGCAGTTAAATCATTCAGATGAAGATTTTACTTCAGTGGCATCAGAGTCAGAGTCAGGCCATAAGTAGGAACACTGTCCGAATATTTACAACATGGGACAAAAGCTATTCTCCGCCACTTTATTCAGCTGTTTTCAAGCCAGAACCTGCTGAGTGACTCTGCACTTATAAATAGTTTTAGTGGCTGGTGGAGACCACATGCTCAAACTCCCTGGGGTTCTTGTGAGTCGAATGTGGGAAATCAGGTAGAAAATCTCATACATATCATGTCACCAACCTGCTGTCTGAGTCTCTCTGGGGAGTTCAGCCAGTGTGTCAGGGTAGTGTAAACAGAACTCCTGTGATTCTGACTTCCCATCAGTTTACAGGGGCAAAGGGAGGGAGGGGGAGAGTCAAACAATTATCACAGCCACTTGGTCACGATGTGGTATAAATGAACGATGCTGACAAGTAAACAGTGAGTCAGCACGAGTCATTTTACCTGCTTAAAAACAGCACAACTAAGTATTGCTGAATTTATGTTCTCCTGCTTTAGTGTCGTGGGAGTGACTGGAGCCAATCGAAGCACTGGGTGGACGACAGTGGGCTACACACCAGTTCAGCAGTCCACTACAGGGCCAAGTAAGGAGACAACCATTCACACCAACATTATACCAAATTCAAAATGAATTCAAATGAGGACAATGTAAAGACTTCATACAGGAAGACAAGGACTAGTGACTTGCGACTCCTTCGCTGTAAGGCAAGAAAACTTACCAATCTTCCACTGTGTCTCCCCAAGATATTTATGATATTAAAAAAGGTTTCATTTTACTTCAAAGTAAAGGTTTCATGTTGTAGCTTTGGAGAAGCAACAGTTCAGTTAATCTGTGATAAAAAAAAGAATAATTAAAGAAATGTTTAAATAATTGAGTAAAAGAATGAATAAACTAAGATGAATACATAAATGATGAAATATAATCCAATCCAGTCTAAACTAGGAATGGTTGATACAACTTTTTCATGCCTAATACTGATACTGCATCTTGGAGTATCTGCTGATACCGATATCAATCTGATCCAGTATGCAACGAGCTGCCGCTGCTGAGGAGATAGTTAAGTTGAGCCTTTGGCATTTGGTATCAGATCAGATGGGCTATAATAGTTTTTTAGGATGTTTGAACGTAACATTTTACCAAAATAAGGACCAATGCCGATCCTGAGTACTGGACTGAGCCACACTAAGTAACCTTTTTTGTCCATCTAAATCTAAGAGCTATTCTTCTCGCTGATAATAAAGGGATGTAAAAGGGAAACACATTATCCATTTGCAAATGAATGGTGCAATCTAAATTATTAACTGTATTTAGTAAGTACCAAAATAAAGGTTTTTTTTAATTTCCCTGTCTGATGAATTCATATTTTAAGATTATTCTTCCTATCATTAAATAGAAGACGGACCAACAACCTTTTTTTTGATGATATGATGACATAATTTTTGATGATGTACTGATATACCGGCAGGAATTGAAGAAAGACACTCAAAAGACTTTCTTCAACAGCTTTGATTATTTTATTTTTTTAGTTTTCATAGCTATCTGCTGCCACCTAGCAGAAGAGTGTTTAAGTGTTTTGTCTTTTCTTTGCATTGATCAGCAAAGAAAAATTATATGCAATAAATAAGAGTTTTCAGCCCAATTAAGTGAAATTGAATAATATTCCACGGCACACCTAAGGGTCTCTCACGACACACTCGTGTGCCACGGCCCAGTAGTTGGGAATCACTGCTTTAAGTGACCGTTGGAAGACTGAAGCTACTGTTTCCAAATTAAAAACCCATGTTGTACATGTTATAAAGATCAGGAGGCAGGTCGTGCAGCGGGTATCGGCATCTCCATGTGTCACTTTTATGTGTAAATCCATCAAGGGGTTTTTAACCGACATGTCACAGCAATTAATTGATTAAAGGCAGGAGGGGCTGATGGGGATTTAGCTGCTGGCCTGGTCGCTCCTATGTTTCCACACCTCTTAATTGCTTATTGATGGGATTCATATGGTCGTAAATTAACCTTAGAGCACTCTATTAGCCCAGTGACAGGCCTGTCTCAACCTGGCATATGATAAGCTGTCGAAGGTGTCAGTTCCTGACCAATCAGGCTTAAGTGGTGTGACACACCAGGTTGTGTCAAATGGAGAAGTGCCTATAGGTAGAGGAGGTACGGTGACGTGCAGCGCATAATAAAGACAACACACACACACACACAGCATGGTATAGGATACAATAGGAATAGAAGAAAATACAAGTAACTTTATTTGCCTCTATTGTTCTCCCTTAGGAATTTAAGAAAAAAAAGATGTTTCTGATTTAGTTTGATCACCTGACACATTTTGTGTTGTATTTCAATTGCTACAAACACAAATTATATATATATATAAAAAAACATTTCAAATTAATATTAGTGTCAAAACACATGGTTCTGCTTCTCCCCAGCAGGTGATAAATCTCAGTTTTCAAAGATAACATTACTTACCTGGTCTTGTAAAAATGCTAACATAATTAATTCATCACTTCGTTAGGTTAGTGCAGAGGAGCCACGTATTGATCCCAGTGCTGTATTCTTTTCTTCTCTGTGTTTGGGGAGGATTGAGGCCGATCACGGTGTGGGAGTAAAAGCCAAAGTGTGGGCCTTCAGACCAAAGCACATCATTTGCACAAACTAAAATCCTCCGCAGGATTTAGATGATTGTCTAAACATTGGCGTTAAATCCTTCCATAACTCATTTAATCACATCTCACTTGTTAAAGATGAAGATGAATTATTATTTTTTGTTTTTTTCAGCTGCGGTTACTTTTTTAAAGATTACTGTTTTGATGTGTTGAATTGAGTCACGGCCTTGCTCTTTTAGAGTCCGAATATTAATACTTTTTAAACAGCACGCACAAAATATGACTAAATGTTTTTGAAAATCTTGTCTTCATACTGAAAAGATGTTAAACACATCAAAAACTGCAAAATGAAACTAGGGGAGTATATTGGAAGAAATTGACGATACGGTACATATCACGATACATGGGCGATGATATGATATATATTTTTAGTTGCTAAAGAAAAAAAAAAGATTTGTAGATTATTTTGGATGAAATGAAATCAAAAATCAAACTATTCTTTGCTGTCCAAAAAGTAAAAAGTAACAAAAAATAGAATTTCAATCACCGGCATCATCAGCAGGTGAGTAAACAAAAGGATTTTTAGACTGGATTTTTAGAACAACTCACACCTTGAGTACAGAAGACAATAGATGAGGAAAAGATTGGTGAGGAATGGATTTTGGAAAAAGCTGGAGTCTGTTCGAAGCTGAGCTGCTGGAGGAAAAGTGTTGAGTGTGGAGTGGAGGTGCAATCGATTTTTCTTTTTTATCCTAAAACATAAAAAACAAAAAAAAAGACCATGTGCCAATAACATGTTGATGTTTTCTGTGTTCTGGTGGAAGCATTTGTATTGGAGCCCAACCTCTGTGACTGAATGACTTTAATGTAGGCCCATGAATGTATTTTTAATATAAAATGATGGTACTGACAGAGAGAAAGGTAACTGGGAAAATAACTAGATAGGTGGACAGACAGAGAGAGAGAGAGAGAGAGCGAGAGAGAGAGAGGGAGGGAGGGAACTCAGAATGCCAGGCACCTCATTGGCCATCCTAATCACCTGCCCACTCCACCCCCCCTTCAGTCCCCTGACCTCAGACTGTACTGCTCAGTGCATAAGGAACAGTATATTGTCTTTGCCTGTGCATTTAAAAAAGGGGTCAAAGAAATACCCTAACCTAGCATTTATGAGCTGTGACCATCGGTGGACAGGAAAGCTATAGGACAGAGAGAGAGAGAAGTGGTTGTAATGCAGCACATGGCCACAGGCTGGAGCTGAACCTAGGCAACCATAAGCAGGAGTGTTGTGGTCTGCCACCTTTAGACTTCCCACCAACCACATCTGACCAGTGGACTAGATACTACTAGAGAGAGAGCGAGAGATTCAATGTTCTAAGTGTTTACTGTCGTACGTGCTGTAAAGAGACATGTTTTGCTGCACAATGAAATTCATAAATGCCCTAAGAGAAACAAAAAGCTATTCCAGATTCCGCCACAGGGGTCTCAGTGTTATTGAAGACTGAAAAGGAGAGAGGAGACAAAAATATAATGGGACATGTCTGTGTAGTTAATGACAGCTGACAAATAAAATATGCAAGGCTCAAATGTTCCACTCCAGGAGCTGGAGTATCGACAGTTGAAGTGGTTATTAGATAAAGAAGTGAGGTGTTCCACACAGCAGACATGTCCTTGACTACTACGGATTTCAACCGTTTCATAAGTTGTCTTCCTCATCATACGGTGTAATTTAACTGTCAGCTCTACACCAAGAACAGGTTGGGTTTTTTTCAGATGGAAACACACCTTCACAGGTTGAGTCTTTGGAATCTGCCACTCTTATGATTCTTTTTTTTTTTTTTTCATAAAAATTAGCTGGAACTTTTTTCATTTGATGTTGTTACAGTGAAATATAGTATTATTACAGTATTATCTTTGATGGTCAGGAAACCTAACTTTTTTCATTTGAGGTTGTTACAGTGAAAATATAGTATTATCTTTGATGGTCAGGAAACCTTTAAACACCTTTGTATAACTTCACAGAAAGAGTTGGCTACTCTCCATAATTATAATAAAAGCAGGAAAGTACAAATGGATGAAAATGTGAGCTCTATAGATCCGTGAGGTTTTCTCCATTGTTCAGAGTGCACTTGCGCGCCATTGTATTAAGAGCAGCATTTATTTCCTTTTGTCCCTGGTAGTGCTGCTGCGCCAGTTCTATCAATAATGATCTTTCTCCCTTACATCTCTCCTTTACCACCTCTCCTTTTGTTCTATATCCTCAAGCACCATTATTCCCATCTCTATCCAGGAGAAGAGGTTGAAAAAAAGTACAGCAAATGGGATTTGGTGAATGTGCAGAAGAGCAGCATGGTTAATGCTCCCAGGAGACTGCACTCTGTGGTCTGATGATTAAGTGTTTTAGCGCTCTGGAGACATCTGGACTCAGAAGAAACGCTCCCCACTTCCACTTGTGTTAAGCACTCTGGCCTTAAGACCATGTCTCTGAGGGTTTATTTAGTTTGGAAACAGTGTGTGTGGCAGGGGAATTATTTATCTCTGTTAAGGGTAAAAGCGGGGACATAACGAGAAATGCATAAATGATGTTTCCTTGTGTTTGTAAACCATTGGTGTTTCATGCTAGCTTATAAAATAGCCTGTAAAAATGTATTTCTCTACCTACGACTTGATACAGTAGTCCTACCAAGATCTTCCAGAGCTTCGGCTTAGCATCCTGCTGTGGTCCTTTACTTGCTCAGTGTGTGACTTTATCCTGTTTTAAATTTAAACTCAGTATGGGCATTGACTACATACATCTCTATTTTCCCTCCTGTTGAACATTTTAGGAGTATATTTTAGGTTTTATTTCAATCCTTATTTGAGACTGAATTCTAATGGGATACATGTGTTTTATGACTTTGGCCCATACAAATGATCAGATAATGTGAGGAAAAGATCCAGGATTAAATACTCAAATTGGTAAATACGTGGTGTCATAGGTAAGAAACAGCACCATCTAGCCAAAAGAAGTAAATGTTTGAACTTAATGTATTGCAGTGAGGGGGAAAGACAGAGTGCGAGAGTGCGAGAGAGTGAAAGGGAGAGAGATAGAGAGCAAAAGAGAAACCACAATAGAAGACCCTGCTATGATTGTGGCAGTAGGGGGTAAATAGAAAGGCCGTGAAAAATCATCAGTCCTGTCAAAAGGGGGAAAAAAAAGACTTGATGGAAAAATCCTTGGCAAGATTTTTCTCAAATCAACTCCTTTAGAAAGAGTGCACAGTGTAATAAGCACCGGGAGATAAAATACTGTGAAACCTTTTTAATAACTTTTCTATTGTGGTTTGAGAATTTGCATTTGCACACCACCACTGTTAATTTGCAGGGGCAATTGCAGTCGTGTCAGCTCATATATATCACTGTAGTCACCCAGAGATATATACACAGAAAGAGAGGGGGGGGGGGGCGACGGGGGATGTCAGGGAAAAGGAACAGAAGCGACTGAGACAAAAGCTCTTGGCACACACTTCCCAGGCCATTAATCATAAAACACAGTTGAAAGATTACATGCCGCTCACTGTGCTTTAATGTGTCCATTTAAATGTGTAAAATGTGCTGGAGTGCTCAATTCCTGGTAAATGTATGTTTTCATTCATGCATCAGTGAATAATGTCTGGTAAATAGTCACTGCTGCCACCGCCCACAAAGACCATCATGCACTTGATCCGCACCAAACCACCGACATCCACAGACAGAGACAGAAAACAGAGACAGACTGTGCATCTGTCTCTGTTTTCACATGGACATCATGCATGTCCGTGCCCCTAACACTGACCTTCACCATTTTAAAATAATTGCCCTAATCCTAATCCTTACTCCACCTCCAATCTGACCTGAATTCTAATACAAACTAAATCTTAAAATACTTTCTCACACATTGGGGACCCATAAAATGTCCCCTTGGGGACAAAGAGTCCTCACTACAATAGTAGTTTAACTTTTTGTCATCACTAATAGAGCTAAGATGGATCCACACACACACAAACACATACTGGTTTTTGTCTTATGTGCAGACCAGGACTAAGATCATGTCCTGAAATTTGTTTCCAAAAAATGTGCCCCACAAGGGAAGCTGTATCAGGTAAACACACACACACAAACCTTTCACTTTGTGGCAATTAGGAAGATGAGGCAGACTTACACAACTGCCACATGACAGAAAATACAACATGTCACATCGGGGCAGTTTATGGTTTTTCTCTGCTTTCCTCCAGGCTGCTGCACTTTGAGCTTTGTGTCTATAATGAGGACATAAGGGAGAGGACATGGGATTTTTGCCAGTACAGTTTAAAGGCAGGGTAAAAGGCACAGCTCATTTTTTGTCTCTCTAATACCAGTAGGGACCGACCCTGTACCCTTCCCCAGCCACGGTTATGTTGTGACTGGCATCCTCCTCCCGACAGTCTATTTTTTTCTTCTTGCTCAAGGGTAGGGATTTATGGGTTGGCCATTTGTTACATTTTGACCCCTTTACCTCCAGCCTTCTGGAGCCAGAGCCATCTTTTCCTTTCGGCTGTCTGGTGACTGACAGACCATCGACATGGTTGCACCTCTGAGGTCCCACGAGTCTTTGATGTGGCAGAAACATTTTTTGATCAGTGTTGCTGTGAGGCTGGGATATTTTCTTTCATTTTCATGACATCCAATTTACAGACCAAAGGGGTAAAATGAGGCCGTAGATTTATACGAGGCCGGGGAGAGTCACTTGATGTAGAGAAATATCCATCACTTCATCGGCCCCATATGAACAATTCCCAAAGACGTTGTCGAGAAAATCTACATCACATGCCTGCAGCCGGTCTGCAACGAGTCTGCAACAACAAATGTCAATATGGTCTGCGCTGCATTCAGGGACACAGAGGGGAATTCATATTTCAAGTTGACGCACAAAGGTTGATGATGGGACAGCTATGAGCAAGACAAATGGGTCCGTGCATCAACGTACACACAGATGACATCTTTATATGACCATTACTGTTGTTGCCATAGAACTGAGGTGCAGCTGATGGAAGGCTCTGGCAAATGCTTCTAGATCAAAACGGGACACAAAATAAAAACATATGTAAAGTATATGTTTGTTTTGAATAATGCAAACTAAGAACTTAATGCTACTTTTTTGCAAATAGGCAAGAAAGAGTTTGTGTTCTTAGAAAGTTTGGCTCCATCCAATTGAGGTTTTTTGGGGGTCAATTTTGGTCAAATACTTAACTTAGCGCAAAATGTCGTAAAAAACAGCATTGGTAGTGGACATGAAAAAGTTGTACCACATTTGTTTTTTTTATTATTTAACCCTGTGTTTTTCTTTATCTATAATCCATCACTTGAGAAAGTGTCCTAGTCTTTGCATTAATATTATCCATATTTGGTTATTGCTACCTTTAAAACATGCTCCTGATTTTCCCCAGGTTTATTTTCCTGATATTGTTCGTTGATTCCCATTTGATGTGACAAATGGCCTAGGCTTCTACTAGATTTTTGAAAAAAGTTTCTTTTGTCACCTGACTGATGTTTTCTTTGTACTCTAAGAATGGCAGCTTTCATTATGGATGCTGATATGGTCGAACAAAGACCATTACATTAATTGCTTTAAGCTTTTAGCTAGCTGAACTTGGCACAATCTGACTTAAATAAATGGACATGAAACTATTCATGCACAGAGTGTATACTGGCCACTTCAATGATTCTATAGTGTAGAACCTGAATGAGTTGAAAGTTAGAACGATGTTATTGTTCAGCAGTGAATGTGCACTCTTTCTTCTTGTTCTCTGCAGGCGTCAAACTTTCAAGAACATTTAATCTACAGACATTTTAGAAGTTTAAGAAAATTGGCTGATTATGTATAAATGAGTGAATGACTTTAGCTGGAATCTCGTGCTTTTCAGCTAAATTGCACCGCTCCTACGTCTGAGTACAACAGTGAAAAATGTTTAACTGCAAACAGAGTCTGCATAGTTGTTTGAAACATCAATGTCATGTTTCAGAATATGTTTTTTCACAATTCAGTATGGTTGAGGTCATTCTAACGGTCAACCTGGTGTCGCATCACCACATATTTAAAAATGTTGGAATTAAAAAAACAAAAACAAAAAAAGAATTCATCCTTACCCAAAAACCTATGCTCAGCCCAAGAGTAAACAGGCCTTGGAGAATGTGAAAACTCCATTTATAGCGAATTGTAAGCTACTTGTGTAAGGCAGTGATTTCCAAAGTGGGGGGCGGGGCCTTAGTGGTTTTCAACATCTTAAGCTGCTGTTAGGCAAAAATGGTAACTAATCCTGCATCCATGTAACCTGTAAGTCCTAATACTGTAGTATTTCTAAAAATGTATATATATTTTGAATTAATTCCGACTGGTCCTTCTGTCTGAACATGATTAAAAAAAAACTTACAGGAATAATGGAAAAATAATTGTAAACCTATAGGAAGATGACTTCAAACTAACAATTGTTCAAACTCCCTAACACGTCACTGTCATCAAAAAACAATGATTTTCTGCTTATTATTCACCAGGAGAATTTCCACAGTCATGTTTACATACATCCAACCCATTTGGACTGTAATTTAATTATAAAAAGCTGATTGGAGGCCAATAGAACTGGAAGATTGAGGAGCCGATCCTGTTCTGTTAACATCACCTGGCATATGCTTCGCTTGCTGCACCTGCTTCATTACTGTGGTGTGTGTATACATCAATATTTACTTGGCACAGCACAAAATTATGCCCAACGTACGAGTTTCTCCTTAAGAAACGGCAGAAATCCACCGAACAAAAATGGATTAATTTCCTAAAAGAAACTGAACTAAACACTCCAGCAACTCAAGCGTGTTATGTCATTCACTGGGTCTGTTTATCTCTGCTTGTTGTTTGTTTGTTCCTTCTTTCATCTCCTTTACAGATATTTACCTGGAACACAGACATAACCTCAAACAGGAAGATGAAGACACAAGAAAACAAGAGGACGTGCCAGGTGTTTCGAAGGGAGTCACACATGTAAATGAATACTATGTGAATACTGTATAAGGACAGATACCCCCCCCCCAAAAAAAAATGATCAAGGTTGAAGTGTTGACGATAACTCCAGGAGATTTTGGAAGATGACGAAATTGCATTTTTTCAACAAAATGAACACCCATGGTGCGTCAGCGTCTTTTCAAAGGGGAAATGATGACTAACATCCCACTGAACCTGGAGTCTGACTGAGCACGGAGAATAAAGAAGTTCTCCTTTTATTCTTCTGTCTTCTGTCTTCTATTTTCTCCTTTCTCTTCCCAGCTCTCTTCTCATCTCCTCTTCTTTCCTCTCCTTCCCTCCTGCTTTTTGTCACATTTTCCTTTCTCTCTCTCTCTGCTCTTCTTGATTTGATTCTCGTCTCCTTTCCTCTCATACCCATTATTTTCTGTCCTTGCTTTCCTCCCCTCTCTTCTTATCTTCTGTTCTTCTTTCACCTCCTCACATTGCTCCCTCTTGTTTTTCTCTCCTCCCCTATTTTTTCACTCCCCCCTTTCCTTCTTTATCGTCCTATCCTCTTTCCTAATTTCTTGCATTCTCTACTCACTTTTCTCTCCCCCTCTCTTATCTGCTTTGTGCTCCTCCCATCTCCTTTTCTTTGGTGTCCTCTCCTTTCCCTTTCCTCCCCTTCGCTCCCTTCTCTTCTCCGTTCTCCTCTCCTCCTTCCTTGCCCCGTTGCGAACATTTCATCATGACTTCAATTTTTAATAAAGCCTCTAAAAGCGTTGAACAAATGGTCACTGACAGCAGCACGACGAGGATAAATAATTTCCTGTTCATATTTCCTGCTTGAGAAACTTCACACTTTCTACTCAAGTTAATTAAAAGAAATCAGAAAATGTCAGAAAGTCTCAATTAAACCTGACACATTTTTAGGTCTGGTTACAAGGATGCTGTTAATTGTCAGTCTAATTACTATCATTTTATTTTCTTTCATTTCAAAGGTGATGGCAGTCATCGAGCTGGTGTTCTCCTAAAAAAAAGAGAGTCTAAAACAAAGTAATTTAAAACATTTATCAAAGTAAAGTGATGACAACAACACAAGGGAAGACATTAGGAGTCAGCATGTGCCCTGTTTCCCTGTCTGCATGTGTCGCCTTATTCATAATAATGGTGCAGTTCTAGGTCATATTCTCTTCAGCCACATCTCGTGTCATAAAACGGGGGTAAGATGAGGACAGAAATGGAATTAACAACAGTGGTGGATGATTTATGCAGCAGAGCCCTTGTCAGAGACAGGATAACTGTCTACAACTGTGTCTCTCTGCACTTCAACTGCAGACTACAAGATGTTTGTGTTATCACTATGTGCACAAAACCCAGGTATTGTACCTTTATAATGTTTGCACTGCAGCATCACTTATTGGAGTTAGTTTTTCCTATGTGGAGGAATTATGATTTAGATTTTTAACGTTCAGCTCTGATGAGGGGACGTTGATGGACCAGGGTTTAAATGAGTTGTTTTATACTGAAATCCAAAGTAAATCACAGATGAGTCCAAGTGTGTCGTGTTGGGAAGGATTTTGTCAAGGTTTGAACTAGCACCAATTGTTGTAGTGTTTCTATAAAAGCTCTTCTGACTAGTCTACAGACACTAGTGATACAGACAAGTTCATTTAGATCACATGTGTCAAACCCAAGGCCCGAGGGCGAAAACTGGCCGGACAGGTCATTTTAAAGGGGCCCTTTCTTTAACATCAACAATAGACTATTTTAATTTAAAATCAAACAAAAAGTTTTCCGATTGGCACATTGGACAATAACTATGTCGAAAAACTATGGATAAAATAAATAAAAACAATATTTGGAACTTAGACAAATAAAACGTATATTCCTAGATACGGTAGCTATCACAGCCAGCAGAACAGAAAGTGAGCAGAGCTTTAACAGCAATAGAACGTTTAGGTTAAAAACACTGTCTCCTGCTTTCTAGTAAACAAAGTGTCATTCAAACTTAGATTTCCACATTCCAATCAACAAACTGACAAACATAACGATGGTTGAAGTAAGAAAAGTTAGGTAAGAACTGATAAGAGACATTAGCATATTCAGGGCTATGTTATCGGACGCTCTACGGTAAAAGACCACATCTTATACTCCACACATTTAAGTGTGTAATGTGTTGTTCTCCAGTATCTAATGTATTCCCATTTTCTGCTATTTATCTGAACCTTGATTTGCACCACTATTAAGCCAATCACACGGTCACACAGAAAGTCATGGAGCCTGCTGTTAAAAGAAGGGTAAATACAAATCCATTTGTTACTCTTCTGAATCATCTGTTGAAGTACGAGACACTGCTTCATCCGGTTCTGTAGAAAAGATAAGAGCTGTATTATCTATATTTTTTATATAGTTTTTTTCCCTCTAATCTTTTTGCTGCAACGAATATTAACACTGCATGAAAGCACCGATATTGAGTCAAGCTCTGTTTTAGTGATTTTGTTCCAAGTGTGATCAGCAGCCATTAATGACTGCAGCCTGATGTAATGCCACATAAATACACTGATGTATCGCTGACTGAGAAACACACTGCTGTCAAAACATTAGCTTCACAGACTGCTTATATTTTCAAAGAACGGTTCTGAATACCCTGACACCAGCACTTTACTTCAGACCGGGGGTCACCAGCTACATCTGTGGGGGGGGGGGGGGGACAACTGGGGAGGCGCACACTCAAATAAAAGGAAATAAAAATCAGATTTTTTTTTGTATAACATTGATGTTGAATTTGGACATTATTTTATTTTATTTTTTACATTTGTTTTCTAAGTATTACACCAACTCATGCATCCGTTCTTGAATCCGTCAATCATCTGTCCATTCATGCTTTTCTCTATGCTCCCATCCATCACTCACACATCCACTTATGTAGCCATGTGCTATCCATCGATCCATCCACTGACTGACCACAGAAACTGAACAACAAGCAGACTAAGGTAATGGGTGTCTTCATGGACATGGTCTTTTCTTGAAGCACCTGAGCGTTAAACCCCCACCCTCTTCCCTCCATCTGATTTGACAATGACCAGCAGTGGCCTGAGGCCAAGTTCTAGTTTGGAACCCTTTCTTAAAGACACTGTACTGCAGGGTGATTTGGACCTGATTTATATTGCAAGCTTACTGGTTTTTACTTTCCTTAAATAGGAGTAAGTGGAGCTGTATTTTACTAGAGGAGGGGAAAAAGTAAAAATTTAACTGACTTAACAAATCTGGCAGTTTCTCCTCATGTCAGTGGAGCAGAAACATGGGGGCAGAGACATTCTCTTGTGTCCTGACAGAAATAGCTCAGCTATAACTGTAAGGCAGGTTGTGAGCCCGCTTCTAATGCAGTCATTTAGTCACAATAGGATAGAACAAGGAAGAATTTGCTCTCGGGCAAAGTCGCAGCCAGCAGCGAGAGGCAGCTGAACGAGTCTTCATTATGTGGAACAAGGAGTCATTTGTAGAGCACTGTTGCTCTTTGGGGGCATCCTGACAAACACATTGATTTTGGCACACATGAAGTTCCACATATCGCTACATCCACCGTGTTGTTGATTCAAATGAGGCAGAGCATCAGCTAGCTTCTGGCAGTGGAGGAACACTGGTTAGCCTGCGTTACAGGAGCAGTGTTTACTTTCAAAATATTCAGATTGCTTTTCAACAAAACTCAACCTTTTCCTAGAAAATAGGGAATGCAAGATGCATTTCCTATTTTTTTTGTGTGTATCATTATTTCACCAACATGCAGATAATGAGATTAGCAGAGAATCCTCAAGCACACATTATCTCCTGAGCTGATTTGGTGTCATCCCTGACAGTTAAGCTACGGCAGTAATAAAAATGCTTCATAGTTTGTGTGTTTGCTCTGAAACACAATCCAACAGCCCACATGAGGATTTCATTTCAATCTCCCAAAATCTGTGTTTGGCCCATGGCCACTATGTAACAGATTGAATTATTCAAGACTGAAAAAAGAGATTGAGGCTACCTCAAAATCTTCAAACTCGACTAATCCCTCAGCTGAAAGCCTCACACATCCATCAGTTTGTAAATCCACAATGGTAACAATGCTCAGAAAATGCGGCACACGCACTGTACAATAATAGAGCAGGAGTTCATAAAGACAAAACTCCAAGTACGGACAGACTCCAAGGATTTCACAAACACACATATTTCATCATTTTATTGTGAGGCCTGACTCTCTACGCTGAAGAAGCTAAGAGTGGATACGCAAAGAAGCCTTTAAATTTACTGATAGAGTTGCCCTTCTGCTTGTATCTTATGTGTCTATCTTTAAAACAACTCTCTTTCTATCAAAGATATGTGGAAGGTAGAAAACTGCTCTCTAATATCCAGAAATGCTAAAATATAACTTGTGCCTTTGCCTTATATGAATTGGGGGCAACATGGTCCCAAATTTAAAATGGTTGAATTCAGCGTTATGAACATTGTAGATGAGACTCAGTAAAATAAAATATTCACCACACATTCCTGTATGATCATTAAAGATGTCAGACAAGTATCTCAACTATCACTGAAATATGAGTGCCAAAGTTTGAGTTCAAAGCTAAAGCTACTCTGCTACGTACCGAAATGCAAACATCATCTCCTTTTCAGAATGGTAGACAGAAAGAGGCAAAGTTTATGGAGAAAGAATGTTCAAATGGCCAAGCAGCTTTAGCAGCAAGACAGAAATGGTTGCACTGGAATCAGATGATGCTGTACAGCAGGTCAACAACTCCTATATATTTGTCAAAGGGGGAGAACTTTTCTGGACAGACGCCTTGGGGACCAGACACTCAAATAAAAATTAAATCAAATTTTTGACTGATTGATATTATTAGATATTTATTTTGGTCTAGATGTGGTCCGTACTGAATGGTTTGGTGGGCTGAATTCAGCCCGAGGGCCACCAGTTGATGATCACTGCTGTAGGTCTTTAAAACCCACAACAGCTGCCACAGGTGGCGCCATTAAGTACTCAGAGTATACCACACAGCAGGCAGGGTTGGAGATGTGTGGCTCCCCTGGGAAAAACTAAAGACTCTCTGCTTACAAGACAGAGTTAACCAAGAACACTTTGTGTTTTAGCATGAAGACCATCATGGTCCGGCAGTTCTAGCTTTAAGTGTTCTTTGACATGATATCAGCCACACTGATGCTGCTGCTGTGATGTGGAAAACTGAGCGGTGAAAATTCTCCCCTCTTCACCTGTAACTCGTCATGTCAAAGAACAAACTCGTCTTCATTTGCACACCGCCTGTTAATACTGCTGTCAAGGTGAGAACAAAGAACATTAATAAAAAACGTCTTTCTTCCTCTCTCCTTCTGTCTGGGGGTTTGTTAGAAGGATTTTGATCAACAGAATATTTTCTGCATACAGGGTAATTTGCTAACAACTGCCCTATAGAATTCTTCAGTTAACATACGGAAGAGGTACCAATTACTGCTACTAAAATAAGAAGCAGAGGCGAAGACGGGGGAAACAAATTGGTGCTAACGTGGGTTGGTAATTAGCGCTTGATCCCTTAGATAACGCAGAACCCTCAAACAAACATTTGGGTCACCAAATTTTATCAACGAGTTCTATATCAGACAAATGCTGTTTTGTTGAAACCCATATAAATAAAGTTCCTCCGTCTAATTAGATATGTTTGTTTTTAAAAAAGACTTTAAAATGTTGCAAGAAAGCCAAAAATCACATCGGCTTCAAAGAAAAATTAAGCTCTCTTTGCCAGAAAATTTGCCAATGCATCAAATGATGTTTATACTTCCTAATGTGATTCATCCAACTGGCCTAGTTTCCATTATTCCTAGGAGTGAGAATGTCAGAGCAACTTTGTTGTGTCCCTGCTTCCACGTCATTTGATCGATTCTGACAGGACAGACTAAGACTTCAAATGCGATATGAGTTTTCCATTTCAATTGTCCCCGCAGCTTCCCCTCTCTTTGTTTCCTATTCAAGTTTGGAAAAATGGGTACACGGAAAAGAAATCTATTTGATCCTTGCCCACAGGCTGCTTCCAGGGGCTCCTAAACCTGTATTCCTTCTTTCCTTATAAATTTATCGCCTGTCTCGCAGTCCTTTGTGCCACACTGGAGATGAGTGTCAAATCTTTGAGAGCTAAGACCCTGGTGGAATATGCTTAGTGTCACATCTAGAAAAATCACTCCCTTTTTAAACTTTCAACATGAACTAAATCTAATGGCATTCCCAAACCTTTTACTCTGTGTGAGACGCTGCTCACAAAAGAATGAAGCAAATAAAAAACTTTGTTTTTAAGGGCCACAAAGTGGAAGTAGTTGTTAGCGCCCCTCACGTTACAGAAGCGGTCTGCAACTGTTCTCAGTGGCGCCCCCTTTTTGAAAACAGTACTGTTGTTGAGCCGCTCCTGCCATGTCAACACATTTACAGCTACGATTGAAAAATCTTCATTTTAAACACTCTAATTCATACACAACGAAATGATGACAGTATCAAAAGGTGTTCGTATGAATGAAAGAAGAGGAAGAATCGGCTTTATCAGCTGTTCGTCTTTGTACAAATACAGACACAATGAAGTTTGTCCTCAGGATTCCTCCCCAGGGACGGAGGGATTTTGGTGCTTCCTCAACACAGCACAGCAGGATTTGAACCTGCAATCTCCTGATAAAAACCACTACAATGACTACCTTACAGTAAAGAAATGCTACAGTTCAGTTCAGTTCAGATTATGGGTCAGTTTAACTGTTCACCCCAAACTGACTACTGTCCAGGTGTCATTATCACTCCCACCTTTAGCTGACCTGGACTTGTCTACAAAGGTAAATTACCGGCAAGTTGAGAAGAAGTTTTCTTCTCAAAGTTGAGCTCTTCCTATCTGGTCCAACTTCCTTTCTTTGACCATTTCAGCCTGTTCTGTTCGTGACCTTGGTTTAGTCTTTTGATAAAAAAAATAATTAGTGAAAATATGAGGCGTTATCCACTCCTGTGAATTAAATTTCCCCTTTCCTGAGAAAAGGGATAATACTGTCTCTCAAGTTTTGTCACGCGGCTCTAACAAACCCATTTCTAACCAGATCTCTTATTAAGAAAGGTGATATTGAGGTAAGAGGAAGAGCCACAGAGCGCTTTTCTCATCTTTTGCTACAATCAGCAGTTTGTCTCCCACGAGACAAAGCTGTTTCTCTTCTGTCGCCTTCTCACTCTTCCGCACTCAAAGGAGGGAGAGCAAAG